TATATTTAATTTATTAAATAATTTTTATTATTTTATAAATTAAAATTTTAAATTATTTTAATAATATTTTTAAAACTTTTATATTATTTTTTAAAAAATTTTTTTATAATAATATATTTATTTATTATTATTATTTATAAAAAAAAATTTAAATTATATTTTCTTATATTTATAATGTTTAAATAATTTTAATAATATTCATTATTTATATATATTATAATTATAATAAGTATAAAGTTTTTTTATTAAATTTATTTTATTTAAAATAATAAAAGGAAAACTTTATAATAATTAAAATAAAAAATTTTATATTTTTTATATAATAATTTATTTTATTTTATTATATTTTAATTAAAAACTTTAGTTTATAAATTATAAAAATTATATTTTATTATATAATTATCCGGAAAAAAAGCGGTATTAAGTTAATTTTTAATTATTAGAAATATAATAATATATTTTTAAATATGCCGGTTTTAAACGGTAATTACGGATTTTAATAATTATTTTAATAAATTTATTTTATTATTAATAAATATTTAAAAAAAAGCGGGTATAAAACGAATAATATATTTTCCGTTATCGTTAAAATAATTTATTAAAAGTAAAATAAAATTTTTTTACTATTTTTTTTAAAGCGAAAACGGTTTATTTTTTAACCGTTATTTATCCGTTAATAATAATTTTAATAATTTTTTAAGCTTTAAGTTTTTAAAATATTTAATTTTATAATAAATTAAATAAAAATATATTAACGTTATTTTTTTAAGTTATAAAATAATAAAATCCGGATTTTATTAAAAATAAAATTTATAATAATTAAAAGATTTAAATTTTTTTCTTTAAATTAAAATAAATAATTAACGGATTAAAAACGAATTAAACGTTAAATTATTACGTTAAATTATTTAAATTTATAAATAATAAAAAATTATAAATATTTTAATATATTTTTCTTAATAATTTATAAATTTAATAAAAAACTTATTTTTATTTTAAATAATATTAATTATATAATTTAATAATAAATTAAATAATTATTTTATATAATAATATTTTATAATTAAAAAATATTAATAAAAATAATATTAAATAAAAATTTAAAATTTATATTTAAAATTTAATAATATATTTTTATATAAATAAATATTAAATTTATAATAAATATATTTTATTATTTTTTAATAAATAAATAAATTAAAAAATAAAATTAAAAACTAAAATTAATAATTCGTTATTATTAAATAATTTTTAAAATATTATATATTAAAATTATTTTAATATTTTAATATAATATTAATAATATATATTTTTTAATATTAAAAAAAGTTTTAATAAAATTATATTAAATTTTAAATTAAAGTTAATTATATTTATATTAAATATATTAATAAAAATGTTTAATTTTAAAATAATATAAAAATAATTTTTAAAAAAAATAAAAAAATTTTTAAATTTTATTATAATAAATTTTAAAATATAATATAATAAAACTTATAAAGTTATAAAATTTAAAATTAATAAAATTATATATTTACATTTATATTATAATTATAAATTATTAAAAAATTAATTTAAAAAATATAAAATATAAAAAATAAAATTATTATTTATAATAAAAAAATCGAAAATTTAATATATAAAATTATAAATATATTATAATTATATAAAATATTATAAAATTTAAATTTTTATAATAATAAATTATTAATATTTAAATATATTATATTATAAAAAAAATTTAAATAAATAAATATTATATAAAATTAAAAAACTTATAAATTATTAAATTAATAATTAAAAAAAATTTAAAAAATTTAAAATATTTAATATATTAAAAAATATTAATATATATAATAAATAATATTTAAAAAAGTTTTTAATAAAAAATATAATAAAATTTATTAATTAATATAATTAATATTATTTATTATTATTAAAAAAATTAAAAATTTAAATATTATAATTAATAATTATAACATTAAATAAAATTTAAATATTATTATAATTAATAAATATAATATTAAATAATATAAAAAATTTAATATCGTTAAATTTAAAATTATTTATAAAAATAAAATAAATAAAATTAAATAATAAATAATAAATTTATAATTAATTAAAATTAAAACTTAAAAATTTAAAAAAAATTATTTTTAAACGTTAATTTTAATATTTTATTTAATTTTTTATATATAATACACGTGTTTTTTATATAACCGTTATTTTTATCGTTTATTATATAATAATTTTATTATATATTTTTAAAAAAAAATTTTTTTTATTAAAAAAAAGTTTTTTAATTTATAAACTTTTAAATTTTATAAAAATTATATTTAATTTTTTATTTTTTTTAAAAAATATTAAATATAAATTATATTTTTAATAAAAATTTAATTAAAATATTAATTAAATTTAAAAAATTTATTAATATAATTATAAAAATATAATTTTTTTTATTAAAAATTAAAAAAATTAATAATATATATATATATATTAATTTAATTATATATTTTAATTACGTTAATATAATAAATAAAATTTTTTTTCGAAAACTTTTAATTAATTTAAATTTAAAATAATTAATTATTATTTATAATATTATAATTAAAGTTTATTATTTAAAATTAAAAAATATCGAATATTAAAAGTTAAAAAATAAAACGTCCGCATTATTTTAATAAATAATTGTATTAAACGTGCTAAAAGTGATTAACGGAATAAGCACATCCGACTTGGCTAAGTAATGGCCCAATTTATGGTCGATGTCTTTTAACCTAGTCGTTGCTGCCCATTCATGGATGTTAATTAAAATCTTCCAAAGCCGCTTGAACTGATCCTTCTTGGATAAAACGATGCTATCCAGCTTATACACAAGGTAGTTTCGCTTGAAATTCTCGTCAGTATGTGGGATCGACCACATAATGTAGATATCCGCGACCTGATCGTTCATGCACAAGCCGAAGACGGCTTGTTCATCACCAACTACTCTTTCGGTTTGGTTTAGGGACACTGCTAAACCACCTATACATTGGTTTGCGGCATGCCATAGATTGCCGCCCATTGGCTTGTATTCCACGATCAAGTAAGGAAATAAAAGCCCGCTAGCATTGGATTGCAATACATTCGAACGTTCCCATAGATCTAGTTCAAATTTTGGGAATGAGGAGGCTTGATATCCGAAGGCTTGATCAGGTATAGGCTTTATAAGAGCATGTTTTCGTAAGAAGGGACTGTTAGCCATTGCCAACGCAGTGAAGTGTTCACAACTAGCTTCAGACAATGTCTGGACATAGTTCCCTAGCCGGTTAAGCGCCAAAGGGTCAATGCAAGAAGACAAACTTTTCTTGACAGTTTCCTCGATGAAGAGTATTTGGGGGTCGTGTAATAAATGATGTAGTTTTTTGTAGTTGTGTTCTAGAACATCGTCATGCATCTTCATTATTGGGGTTGATGGATCGGACTCGACGCAAGTAACAACGTGCTGAACCCAAGCAGGGAATCGACTGTCTTCTTTGCTATTGCGAAGATCGCACTCCACTTCAGACAATACATTGATCCCATTTGTAGCAAGGTTCAGCTTTCGGTATATAGGAGAACTAGTAGCGTTCTCGTTGGATGTCTTCGAGGTCTGCGCGGTAATAATAGAGCCGCCCTTCCTGGAGGGATTGGAAAGCATCGCGAGGAACTCTTTTGTCGAATCGGGGATAGATTGTAGATCTGGATCTTGGAAGGAGTCGGATGGTACGTTTCGTTCTTGAAGGGAGTCGCTGGGTTCAATCATAGACTCCAGCCACGTTAATACGGAACTTCCATGGCAGTTGTCAGATTTATGGAATATGACATTCGAGATAGATTGTTCCGGACAATGACAGGATCGAGGCTTTTTAGCCGGCGGATTGTCGCAATTCAATGCAGAATCAAACTGACGCTTCTTACTAAATGTCGAGGAATTGGAAAGGAAGTCCTGGGGGATGATTTGAGGAGGTTCAAGAGATCCTCGATGAACGAGATTCTCGGAAATCATCGCGAAGGTTAGGAAAAGGGGATTTAATATTATTAGGAAAATTAGGAAAAGTACGTTGCTAGTTTATAACACCGGCAGAATATAATCCTCATGGACGAACTTTGAGATTAACGTGTGAAAATGAATAGTATTTATACCCGAATTCACGAGGGATATTATATTATTTAAATTTTCACGGGGGGTTTATTTTATCCCCGATTTCCGAAGCGGGTATAAGTTTTTCCGAGTTTAAATTTTTAAAATTAATTATATTTAATTATACGTAATATAATCCGTGTTATTATATTTATAAAATAAATATAATATTTTTAAAAATTTAATTTAATTTAATATAAAATTTAAAAATTTATAAATTAAAAAAAAATTTATAATAAATTTTTTTTAATATATAATAAAATTATTATATAATAAATAATAAAAATAATAATTATATAAAAAATATATATATTAATAAAATAAATACGTATTTTAATTTAATTATACGTTTTTAATTATATATTTTAATTATATTAATATTTAATATTTAATAAATAATAATATATATGTATATATATATTAATATAATTATATATTTTTTATTATATATTTTAATTACGTTAATATAATAAATAAATTTTTTTTCGAAAATTTTTAATTAATTTAAATTTAAAATAATTAATTATTATTTATAATATTATAATTAAATTTTATTAAAATAATAATTTTATTTTATTTTTATTATTTTTTAAAGTAACGATTAATTTAATTTTTTATTATTTATTTAAATAAAAATTTTTTATTTTTTATTTTAAATTTTTAATACGACGAACCGTTTATTTTAATAAAAAAGTTATTATATAATTTTTTTATTAAATTATTATAAAAATTTTATTTTACGTTATATATATATATATATATATATTTTAATTTATATAAAAAAAACTTTTATTAATTTTATTTTTAAAATTAAATTAATTTTTAATACGTTATAAATTTAAATTATTTTTTAAGTTTTTATTAATTTTAAATTCGTGTTAATTATTTTTTACGTTTTTATTAATTATTTTCCGAGTTTTTATTAAATTAAGTTTTTTTCGGTTATTTATTAAATTTTAAAAAACTTTTATTAATAATTAAAAAAAATTATATTAATTATATTTTATAATTATATTAATTATATTTTATTATATTATTATATTAATATTAAATTTATTTATTAAATTTATTAAGTTTATATTAATTAAATATAATTAATAATTTTAAAATTTTTTTTTTATATTTATTATTAATTTTTTTCGAAAAATTAAAGTTTCGATTTTTTTAATATATACGATATATATTAAACGAAATTATTTTAAATTTTTTTTTTAAATAAAATTAATAAGATTTTTATTAATATATACGAAAACTTTAATTTAATAATATATTTATATTATTAATATAAACTTTTAAAATGTAAAAAAATAATATAAAATTTATTAATTTTTTTTTTAATTTTTTCGGAATTAAAAAACTTTAAAATAAAAACTTAAAATCTTTTATTTTATTTATTTATAACACGGGCCACGTGTATAATTATTTTTTTTATATTATATTTTTAAAAGTTTGCATTAATTATATTTAAAAATTTAAAATTATTATATAACTTAAAAGAAATTATTAATAATTTTAAATTTTAAATTTTTTTTAAATAAATTATTTAATATTTATAAATTTTATAAAATTAATAATTTATAATTAATTTATTTTTTATATTAAAAATTTTTTAATAAATTTTATAAATTAAATTAATTATTTTATTTAAATTTTAAATTAAGCCGAATAAAAAATTAATATTAAATTATAAAAAATCTTAAAAATATATTTAATTTTTTTTTAAAAAATAACGAAAATAAAAATTAATTTATATTAAAGAAAAAATATAATAAAAAGAAAAAGAAAATTAAGTTTTATTAATATTAATAATTATAATATTATTATTAATAATAATATTAAATATTTAAATATAAATTTTAATATTAAAATAAACGATAAATATATTATTAATATAAACTTTTTTTATTTTATAAATTATTATTATATTATCCGTATAAACTTTTATAAATTTTTAATAATTTTATAAAAACTTGTATTAATATTATTATATTTTATATTACACTTTTAATTTTTTTAATTATTTATTTCTTAATTATTAACTTTTTAATTATTAATTTTTTAATAAATTATTTATTTATTATTTAAATTATTAATAATAATAAATAAACTTTTTAATTTTTTAAAACTTATTTAATAATATATTTAAAGATTTATATTTAAAGTAATTAAATTATTTATTATTATATTTTTATAATTATTAAATTTATTAATTATAATATTAAAACTTTTAATTTTAATATTAAATTTATTAATATTAAATTTAATATTATTTACGATAATATTAATATTATTAATTAATATATTAAATTTATTTATGTTAATAATAATATTATTTATTTAATTATTTTTTTTAATTTTAAGTTATATAATTATAAACTTAATAATAATATTATAAATATTAATTATATTATTATAATTATAATTAATTTATATTATTATAACTTTTATTTTATTATTAAATAATTTTAATATTTAATTATTAAATAAAATTATATTATTATATTTATAATTAATTTAAATTATTATTATTTTAGTTTTAATTATTATTATTATTTTTTAATTATTATATTTTAAATTATATTATATTATTATTATTTTTAAAATAATAAATATTAATAATAAATTAAATAATAATAATTTTAATAACTTAAAGCCCCCGTTTCCCCGTTATAACTGTAAAATAAAATAATAATTAACCGAAATAATATTAATAATATAAATCGTTATAAAATAAATCTTCGGTTTAAAAAAAATAATAAATAATATAAATAATATTATAAAAAATATATAAATAATTACTAAAAGATAATTAAAAATAACGAAAAAAAATAAAATTAAAAAAATAATTTATTTAAAACATTAAATATTTTCATTCCAACTTAAATATAATAATTATTAAGTTATTAAATATTACCACTTTAAATAAAAAAACGTATTAAAAATTTATATATTTATTTATTAATACCGTTAAAATTATTTAAATATTATAAATATAAAAAAATATAATTTAAAAAAGATTTTTATAACTTTTAAAAAGTTCCGCATAATAATAATAAGTAAATATATTATTATAAAAAGAAAAAATAAAATATTTAAAAAATAATATAAAAGCATTAAAAATATTATTAAAATAATTTAAAATTTTAATTTATAAAATAATAAAAATCATTTAATAAACTAAATATTATAAGTATAATTATTTTAAAAATATTAATTTTAAGTTATAAATTATAAATTTAATTTAAATTTATTATATTATTAACTTTATAAAAGTAAAATATTAAAAATCGTTAATATATAATATATTAATAAAAAATTTATAATTAATTTACTTTTTCCTAATTATAAATATCATTTTAAATAAATATATTATATATTTATATAACTATTAAAAGATATAAAAAAATTAAATAATTAATATTAAAAAATAAAACCTTAACTTTAAAAATATAAATCTTTTAATTATAAATATTATAAAATATTAAATTTATAAAATATTAAATAATATTATAATTAAACTTAAAATAATTAATAAAATTATAAATATAATTATTAGTAAAAAATTTAAATTAAATTATAAGGATAAAAATTAAGGTAAAAGTTTATAATTATAATAAAAAAATTAATATAAATATTATAATAATTATAATAATTATTAAAAAAATTATAAATATCATTATAAAAGATATAATAATTATTATAAAACATAAAATAATTATTTATATAATTATAACCGTAATTAAGATTATTAATATGGTTAAAAATAATCCTTTTATTAAAATAAA